TCACACTAGAAACTCATCATTTTCCTATTTTCTCCATTTCAACGAGGGAACTTCGAGAATCAATTTTTCATTCATCCGTTATCCGTTTTGAGCGTACCGCATATCGAATTGTAGCCCTTAACAGGGAAAATCCGTAACCACTTTGACCCGACCCAAATCAGAAGTGGACCCCACTCAAAATATTTTCCCAAATTGACCATTTAATGCAATTTATTAACACATTTTCCAACAGAAACTGGTAGTGGCCAACTGTCATCATGGGAGGAAAGGCGGAAGACCGATAGGGTCCGAAGAAGTCTCTAACCCCAAGAAAAAGTTTCTAATATAAATACGTGTCATTAGAAAGATATTACTTGATTCGTTCTTCTATCTTTGTCCTATTTTACCTTTTTCTATTCTCTCATAATTTTTTTCTCATACGAGTACCGTATTTGATAATATTTGAGTCGTTATAACGCATTCTCACTTTATTTACACTTTACAAATTTAATATCAATCACACACTTGAACTCCCTCCGATTTGAATCTTAGGGAATGTTTGAATCTGCTTCTTAAAACCGCTTCTGCTCAAAATGCTCAGATATGACAGTTTTTGGTAAAAGTTCAGAAATGCTTTTGAGTGCTCAAAATTGTTCCCAGAATCAGGTTTTTTAGAATCTGAAAAAACTAGTCTTGAAAAACTAATTTTGAATTTACTGCTTTAAAAAAAAGAGATGGGTCCTAATGCATGGAATTTTCTAAATCTCGACCTTTTTTGACGCTATATTCCTAGCTTGGCCACTGTCGCTCATTATCATCTTCTCATACGCTTCTCTGAAATGTACATTCTACATAGATAGAACTACACATATCCACTCACCTTTGTCGCTATTCACCTCCCTGAATTGCCATTTCAAAAAAAAAAAACACTTTTCAAGCCATTTAATAGAACTACATTTTTTTGAATTGCCATTTCAAGCCTTCTGCCGCCGTGGTGAGATATATTTGAAAGAAAGAACACTTTAATTGATAGCAAGACACAACCACCAATTCGTATCTACTCCGCAATTAGTATTAGCTCAATAAAATATATCCTGTTTTGCTAAATTATTCGATTTTCTTTTCGGATTTAGTACATTTTAAAGCTAGAAACATGTCCGCCATTTTTAAATTTTGTCAAAATTAATAACACTCAATTTATGACCTGTATTCTTGACTTATCAACCTTATCAATCAAAGTTTTACCACAAAAAAAAACCTTATCAATCAAAGTTTTCACCAACAAACACATGACTTTTTATTTCTCGCATTGAGAGCCCGTTTGATAGCACGAGAATTCGCTAATTTGGCTGATTCTGCTAAAATTAATGAAGTTCTGGCTGAAGTGGATGCATTGGCAGATTTTGCTGATTTAAGAAAAAATAAAATAAAGTATACGAAGTATTTTATTAATAAAATAAGGAAAAAATTATGTGTAAAAATAGTTAAAATGGTCATCTACAATAACTTCAGCCAATACAGTCAGAAAAGTAACTCCAACCTTACTTTTTCTGCTTATTACACAATTTAGCGCGCGAAAGCAAAAATTACGTGTTTGGTGAAAAAATTGGCTGATAAACCAAAAAACAGTGTTGCCAAACAGCCTCTGAATAGTATAATAATCAAAATAAATAACGTTGGATTTATTTTTTCAAACTGAATTGATTAAAGTTACTATAGAGAACAATTTCAATTTTTTTTTCATAGATTTTATTCCATAACTCAACAGATTCATTCGCTTTAGAAATAATTTTAGAGAGAATTCCCTAAATAGGAGTAAAAACGTTTTGAAATTCCAAAATAGGAGTATCATGTTTTTTATTTCCTAAATAGGAGTAAATTTCTGCCAAGTTTGGGCATTACAAGGATTTAAACATGGCATTTTCTTCCAAACTTGGCAGATTACTCTTATTCAGGGAATAAAAAACATGATACTCCTATTTTGGAATTTCAAAACGTTTTTACTCCTATTTAGGGCAATTTCTGATAATTTTATACTCCCTCCGTCCCGCAGTTAAGTTCACACTTTGACTTCACACAGATTAAGGAAATAAATTTGACTTTATTGTAGAGTGCACTGTTTTGCACTGTTTAAACACTGTTTGGGCACCGTTTGGCACTGTTTGACACTGTTTTAATGTAGATAATTTGCCAAATAAGGAAAGTATTGAAGTGTGAAGTTAATTTCGGGACTGCCAAAAAAGGAAAGTGAGAAGTTGTTTATGGGACAGAGGAGTATATTTTAGCAAAATCAGACGATTCAACGAATTTTAGTGTTACTAAATGGGCACTAAAGTTGGCAATTTGATACTCCGTATTAGAATGTTTTTTTATTGAATTGTATTTTTTTTACTTGGTCTATTTGGTTTGTTTAAATCTTAACTAGTCTGATCTAAATTGGTTTAGTCTTGTGGATGTTTGTACTATTTGTATTTCACAAATGTCGAAGTCTGATCTGATCTGATCCAGCTGATTTGATTTGTTTAAGTCTGATAGAATGAAATCAATCTAGTTAAAAAGATGCTTAATCAAAATTATTTATTCTTGGCCTCTCAATCAGCAAGTTTAAAACAGCCATAATTAGTGCAAACTCTTTTCTAAAAGCGCACATATGAAATACTATTTTTATTTATTTATTAAAACTCACTTTTTTGGCAAGTGATTGGACTCTTGGCTTGTACTAGTATTTTTTAATAATTTGAAGGTCTCTGCAACTGGAGCGATTTGTATTTTAATAGCTCGGGTCACTCTCACAAAGAACAAATAATTGAAGGTATAGAAGAGATCTCCAATGATCTGAATTAAGTTTCGTCTTTTATTACTTTAGTTTTTTCTCTCTCGCATACCTTAACTTTTATCGTTTTAAATTTCAATTTTCATCCAACGTTTGACAGTTCATCAATATCATACTCCCACAGTTAATTAACAAAGTACATGTGAACAATGAATATGTTTTTGTTCTAATACTACATATCTCCATTAAATCTTTGTCAATCCTTCTTTTTCTGCTGTGCCACTTACTTTCCCACTTTATTTAAAGAAATGTGTGGCTCCGGTTACTTCTCTATAATCTACATAGACTTCAATAACATAATTTTTGCTTCGTTAATTCATGTGTTGATCAAACTTGACCAAATTTTAAAGAACGGGGGTATTTTTCTTAATGTAAACTTCATGCATTGAAGTGCAACTCGTGTTGCTACAAATACAATCTCAAGTAGTGGCATATGCAATTCATGCAGTGAAATACAACTCAATAACTCATATTATTCCCTCCAACAGTTATATGTGAAATATTAATCGTGTGTATGTAAAATGTAAGTTGAAGTAAGTCGAAATGTAACTCACGTGTTTCCAAAATATAACTAGAGATAATTTGAAACGTAAAATGTAAGTTATGCTACTCGAAATGTAAATTGCGCTAATGAAATGTAACTTAAGGCAAGTCGAAATGTAAACCACGTGATAGTTCGTAAGAATACCAATAGTGGTATCTATAGAGAAGAAAGAGCTAAAAGTGGATAGAGAAATATATTTGATAATAAATGAGTTTCAAACGGTTTACGTCTCCTTCGAGGGAAGTATTTGTACTGGTAAAAATCCTAGGTGCATTAAATGTATGTACACATGTAGGCAATGTTTGACATGCATAAGTCCCAGCCTTATAGCTTTTGTACTGCTCAAAAAGTCTCTAAAATCTTCTAGTTATATGTTTGGCATGACAATTTTTAAGAGTTTTTCAAAAATTAAAACATCTTTTTTGAGATGCTACAAGGAGTAGTATCTGAAAAAAGTTTGTGACTTTTAGTATTAATTAGAGTATGTTTGGCACAACCAGTTGAAAAGATATTTTTGTAAACTTTTTTGTTACTGTTAGCTTTTAGCGACTGAAAAGATCTTAAAAAGAAAAGGTGATAGTTTTTTGGTAAAAAACTGACTGTTTGATTTAGTTTTGTTTGGTATACAAGCTGTTTGTATTAATAAATGCTAAAAGCCACAGACTTTTCTCAGATGCTACTCCCTGTAGCATCTCAAAAAAGATCTTTTATTTTTTGAAAAGCTATTAAATGTTGTCATGCCAAACATACAACTAGAAGCTTTTAGAGACTTTTTAAATAGTAGAAAAGCTAGAAGGCGGAGACTTTTTAATCCTAACAGCTTGTATATCAAACCAAACTAAATCAAACAGTGAGCTTTTTACCAAACAACTACCACCTTTTCTTTTTAAGATCTTTTCAATCACTAAAAGCTAACTAATTATTAAGAAGCTCACAAAAGTATCTTTGCATCTAATTGTACCAAACATACCCGTAAGCTAGTATGTGTGCAAGTCTTACTGTAGTAGAATGTGACGTGTGCTTTTGCCGAATATATGTTAGACAATGTGCTTGGGTACTTATCCCCAAATGTTCCTTTGGCTTGAGCGAGCTTCTGTGTGAGCTGATCGAGGATGAGGTGTTCAGGTCGAGGGGTCAGTACGAACGAACGTGTGTCCAATGTGTCTATAGTCTTGTTTTGTTATTCTTGGTTGCTTCTTTTACAATGGGCCCTCATCTGGCCCAGGTGCCCGGCCGAGGTAGGTACCCCAATGGTTCTGCACCACTTGTGTACTAATGAGAATGTGGGCCTAAAACTCATATAATATCACCGCGTTAATGAAAATGTAACTTGAAACAATCAAAATGTAAAACACATTAATTGAAATGTAACTTGAGACAAGCTTAGACGTAAATCGCATTAATAGAAATGTAATTTAAGCCAAGTCGAAATGTAAATCATGTATAGGTCAAAATATAAGATATCTAATATAAGATATATGAGAAAATATATGGAGCATGCTTACTAAGGAGCATGTTGGCATGATGAATGACTTCATTTATCTAAAATAGTCATAAAATTTTGAATTTTGACCATTCATCACATCAGTGCGCTCCTTAGTGAGCACAACAGTGTGCTCCATATATTTTCTCCAAATTTAGGATGCTCTTGTAGTATGTTTTTAGATGATCTTGCTGGTATATCTTCATTATATTGTAGTCATACATTCTATTTGTCTCAGAATGTCTATATAAGCCTCTTCTTATAAAGAAAAGTACTCCGTATAAAAGAGTAACGAACAATGAACACAAAAATGTAAAATTGAACCAAAGTACAGTAGATAATTGCTAGCCCCGTATGTTCAACGATTTTGTTGCTTGCGAAGCTAGAGCCAATGCCTTCGCATTTGTACTCGATGTCACCAATTTCCTCTCAGCCCGCCGCTGACGTTGCCGGGCATTTTTTGCTCGCTTTGGTGCTAGCCGGTTGTCTCTTTCCAAGAATGCTAGTCTAAATTTTTCTGCAATAGACAGCTCCTCTGGGTCTGAGACCAACATCAAAGGAACCCTGTGTGCGATGATTGAAACTGCCCAAGTTTTAGGGTCGACATCTTCAACTATTGGATCATCCAACACCGCATCCAGTGATGCCTCACGAGGAACATGAAAACCCCTGAAGCCCAAAGGGGAGTCCCTTGGGTTGATTATAATGCGAGGGCATTCAACTTGCAGATCATCCAACAAATCCTTCTCAATCTCTGGCTGTTCATGCATGACAAATTAAAGGAAATATAACATTTGAGGGTGCCAGTTTGGTAGGATCTTTTCTGGCTTATCACCAAAAAATTTCACCAAATACGAAGTGTTCATTTTCGCAAGTGTGATTGTCAGCTAAGTTTTCGAAAAGAAAAAGCATTTCGTACAATCCATTTCAGTTAGGCAAATCAAAAGCTACTTATTCTCTTTATTCCGATTATAATTTTAATTAGCTTAGTAAGCCTTATGGCAAACAGGGCTTTAACTTATTTCACAACACTGACTAAATCAGCTGGTGAATAAAAAAAGCTACAAGTTACTTTATTGGCTGAATTTAATGAAATGACAATTCAGCATTTTGTTTGAAAAAATATTTTCCTAATTAATATTTTTGATAACTCAACCAATTCAGTCATTTCAACCACAAATTTAGTGACTTTAGTCATTTTAGGTCTTGCCAAAATTACTAAATCAGCTCATAAATAAAAAAATAGTGAACAAGCTACTTTATTGGCTGAAATTAATGAAGTGATAATTCAACATTCATTTTTAGATTTACCTAAAACATATTTTTTTATTTTAAATTAATATTTTTGATAATTCAGTCATTTCAATCACAAATTCACTAATTCAGTCGCTTAAGCCATTTTAGGCCTTGCAAAGCTGGTTCTCAATCTAAAGACCACATCAAACAAAGACTTGCAGGTTGAGAGAAGGGACAGTAATCATAAATAAATAATTCATAACCGTATAATGAATGGGACATACATACCCACACTAGCCAACACAATGACGGAGCACCATAAGCTAATTCTGAGGCGTCAACTTCCTCCCAAGACTCGCCCTCTACATCTCTGAGACATGGTTTCAACAAACTCACACATCTGTGGGCAGTGTACTCACTCCTTGGACACCCTCTAGAAACATTAACATGGATTAAATCCTTGTGCGTGGATTTAGCTCTGGTTAAACCCCAATGGGTTGACAACCATAGCATCAAAACTCAGAAGAGCAATAGAGTCCATTTCGAATTATAAACAATGCAACTTAGAGGAACTATAGAAGAAATTGGAAAGAAATGTGCAGAAAATAAAAATAATTTTTTTAAATCAATAAATCTATTTTTGCAATTTGCTCAAAAATGCATTTATTTATCTATTTTTACAACATAAAACTAAAAAGATGAATGCTACGGTACCCCACACATAAGTGAGAATATTGTAACTACTCAATTGTCATATTCTGATTGGTTCATGTGGACAAAGTAGAGTACCTAGAGGGTACTGTAGAATTTGCCAACTAAAAAAGCTAAACATATGACAAAAATTTCAGAAATAGTAACCATTTTTCATTCTCATTTGCGTTTTTACGTCGCAAAACTAAACAGAAGAAAATAAGTTTCCTTGGCATTTTCCCACTTCCCTCCCCTAAGCATTTTTCAGGATCCAAACATGCACTTACTCTTTTAAATGCACAAAAAATTGGGCAGTTTTCTGGCTGTTTTGATATCTAAACAATTCCTCCCTTCTCAAAGTACAAATTAATTACCTACAGGCCGCAACAATTGAAGAACCAAAACCCTCCCTAATTTTCCCCTCTTCTATAGTTTTTCACACCACAAGTAAAAAAACAGAGATTGAAGAAAAAAGCACTTTTGAGACGTCAATGTTGAAAGCTGAACAGCAAAAGGTAATGCATACCCCCATCTCAATATTTCCAGGGACCGACAACGCTGCAAGAGTTCTGAAACGCCTGCCGATGTAACTTTGCTGCACAGACTGGACAACACACATCAAACCCAGATTTAGATTTGCTTAATCTAGTGCCAAATCGATACAATTGACAAAGCATATGCAGCTTCAAGAATAACAAGTAAAAAACAATGTCTACATATACATATAATATGTGTGTAGAATTTGGTTTAAATATAAAGTACGTCCCCTGTACCCCTAAGATAGGAACTCAAAGAGGTAATGTGGTTATTAAGAAAAGTAGGTTTGTGTGGTCAATATTAATTGATAAAGTGAGAATAAAGTAAAAACAATTTAGAACCACACAAACATTGCCAAATTTGGTATCGGACAATCTTAGTGGGATGATCCAAAAATAAAAGACGAGGCAATCTTGGCAGGACGGAGGGAGTAGTTCTTAGATGAAAAGAGTTAATCTTGATTATTGATGTTAATAAATGTTGGAATGAGATCAATCTATTAGGATTAAAAAGTAAAAAGTGTATTACAATATACAAAAAAATGTATGTGTACTTCAAAAAAGTGCATCAAAATTTGAAATAAAATGTGCATAATTTCAAAGAATTTCATAACTGTTTTTAACACTCAAGATTACACTTTATTATATATAAACGTTGCCCTTATATAACAAAAGATTGCACGTCAAAGTTCCACATATTTACAATTTTCCACTCTGACTTTTGATTAAATATTCATCTAACCAATTCATTTTCAAGTGAATAAAAGCCTAGATTTATTGTCATGTTCCATGGAAATCCTGCAAATCCTGCAATAAACTTGAACCTTCCCCTATGTGTATATATGTATATCTATATGAATTTTGCACCTGAATCTAGAGTTGTCAATCCCGTATAACAGAGAGGAGTGCCCTACCTCAGAAACGCAATAGCGGTAATAGCGAATAGTGGGATGACCGCTAGTTGTATAACTTTTATGCAGAATATTAGATTACACGTATACATATAATTACATACAATACACATCAAATCCATAAATGGCAACTTTTACTCAAACTTCATGACATTCACATTAAATTATCTCTAACTAGGCAATAGGCTCCATACTAAACAAGCTCATAGACTAGTGTTAGATGACTAAGAAGAGTTGAAACTTGAAAGTGGAAGAAGAAGAGAACTAGTAGTGGAAAGTAGTTGAAGAAGCAAATCAATGATTTTCTTGTTTGGTGTGTAGTTTTTTAGCCACAATGCTGGTTGTTGAAGAAACGGAAAAGAGATGACTAAGAATGATAATTTAGAAGACTGGGATCGGATTTACCTATTTAAAGGGTTCTAGTGGGGTTACTTTATATTCTAAGAAGCTTACTTTACCCATTTAAAAAAAATTAAAAAAAAAAAATCACCCCAAAATTCTCTAATCCTGCGTTGGCAACTAACTCAAAAGCGCCAGCTACTAACACTATAGCGGCTACTATTTATGCTACAGTTAAATGCTCCACTACAGAGGTTCTTGTAGCGCCCGGGTGCTGCTACGCCAATATACGTGCTATTTAATTCACTGTCAAAATTGTAAATGTGTTACTTTCAGATAGTTTTGTCATTGTATTTTCATCGGAAGCTCTTCATATTTACAATAATGCCACCGTTTTGACTGAAATTTTGATCTCATCCATCCATTTAGTCACATCAATGATCAAAATTAGTTCTCATTTTCATCTAGTAACTACTTTTTAGATGATCCAAATTATATACTACGTATGTGTTTGCGCATGTGTGAACACAAAAAAAAAAATCAAACATGGTGGTAAAAATGATGTCACCATGTGAGGTATGATGGGAGGACAGAAATCCAGAAACCATTTGCAACTCAGAAATGGATGCAAACCAAAAGCTAACAGAGTAATTACACCTATTAATGAATTTACAAAACCAACAGAATAATTACAATGTCAATACTGATAGTGTGATACAACGCTATACCTTATATCTACTGCTTTTAGATATTTGCAAGTCTTTACCACTTCCAAGAGACCGAAATCAGAAACATCAGAACCGGATATATCAAGAATTTCCCATGATCTTTCAGCTAATGCCATGATGACACCGTCATTCAATAACTTCCTCCTCCTTGCAACTGCTGCAATTATCATCTGTGAAAGATAAAATCTTATCATTTGGTATGACAATACACAAGTAAGTAAGATCTAACCAAATCTGTATGCTTGGTACAATATTCAGACCTCTTTGGAAGTCTTCGACCTACTTAAAATATCAATTGAAAGCTTACTTCTGATTCTTCTGATTCATGACAAATTTCATGTATGAACTCACTAGCAATTATAGTAGCACAAAGTTCAATTTCACATTCATGATACCTGATGGAACTTGTTCGTTCACATTTTCCAAGAAGGCATCTTCTTTATCACATAATTAATGTAATTTCTTGATAATTTAAAAAGCTTATGCTTTCATTCATGAAAAATTAACGTTAAGTGGTTTCAAGCATAGGATGGATGAGAGGAAAAACCTTGATATTTGGGGGAAAACTAGAGGCAATATCGGCCAAGTCCTCGATAATATCCTCTAAATTTCTACCGACAACTCCAATACACAAATTCAATAAGCTCGGAATCTGTCTCTTGCTAATCCGCAACACTGCCACCCCAATCATGGCACACAATAGTTAATTTTCTCAAGCTGAACTCTATTTGGCAACAAACTTCCGGAAACTCGCCAAATTTATAGAAACTAAAGCATTCAAAAATAAAATTTTGCATATAAAATCATTCAGTACATAGCATAAAGTGAACGAGAGGTGTACAGGAAGATTGGAGAGGATTCTGGAAGGGCTTCTTCAAGAGCTTTTGCATAGGCTTTTTTGTAATTAAAGCCTCTTGAGCTCTTCCTTTTTCCATTGACTGGTAAAGATGAAGCTGGTCGCAAAAATCGAATTCCTAATTGCTTGCGGATTGTTTGACAAGAGTCGCCGTAGAAGGAATTAAATTTTAATTCCAGCCTTCCAGGCCTGACTGCTTTCTTCAGAAGAAGGGCGTAAACCAGTCGAACCGAGGGAACCTGCATCAACTCGAAATAAGGCAACTCCCTCCGCCCCTGAATGTAGTCGCCGTGAAAGCCCAGATTATTTCCAGTAAATAAAATTTATGAGAAACTTTGTTAAACCCGTTATAAAGTCTACAAAAAAAATCAATTTCATAAAGTTTAAGAACATCCACATCCATGAATTATTTTTGGGATCATTTTGATGATGTGGGGATTTTTTTGGGATCATGGATGAGGAGTTGAGATTATTTTATGAGATTATTTGATAAAATAATCTGGTATCAAATTTTAAAGCTATATTATTTTGAGATTATTTCCAACTTATAGGCATGTACTCATAATTATGGTGATGACTAGCTTTGTAGTTCATGCATGTTCATGCTCCTATCCAAGGTAAATTGAGATCATGAATAAGAAGAAATTTATTGATTTGAAGATTATTTGAGATTATCTTATGTGGAGGTGACATGACAATAATAAGCCATGAAAAACCGTAAAGTTGAAGAGCATCAATGTGGATGCTCTAAGAGTGATTTAAGTTGACTCTCGAAAAACGGAATGGAACTAAATTCAGGGACAGAGGGAGTAGTTTTTTGGCACTAAATAGTAAGCTAAGAGTATTTTCTTTTGCACTAAAGAATTAAAAGCGCAGTTATGTTTAAAAATTAATTTGAATATCTTCCCAATTGAAGTTTTAGCTTGAATTTGGTATGATTAAACTAGACTTAATGAATAAGATGCTCAAAAAAATTCATCAAAAATTTCCACTGAGAACCGCCCAGACAGAGTCTCCTATATAAGAACTTATTTGACCTTTTTATGTAAGTTCAAAGACCTATTTGACCATTTTTCTTTGCCATTTTAGCACTAAAGTAGTACACTAAGAGTGTTCTCTTTTGGACCGTAGATCTGGTCTGATATTTGTTCAAGTCTGGTCTGAAATGGTCTAATCTGATTTGTTTATGTCTGGTCTGATCTGTTTATGTCTGATCTGATTTGTTTAAATTTGGTCTGATGTAATCTGATCTGGTCTGAACCTGAAAATAATCCAAAGAAAAACATCTTAACATGTTCACATAGCTCAATTGGCCAACAAAAATAAAGCCACACCATTTGTTTATTGAACCATTAAGGAGTGTTTGAATTTAGTTCTTGCTTATACTCCTTCAAAGTACAGAAGAATATATTGGATTGTTTGGGTTAAAATGGAAAAGAAGTACTTCTGGGTGCTTCAAAATAGAAATAGTTTTTTTAGAAGGTGAGGGAGAAGTCCAAACCCCAACTTCAGATCACGTTGATGAAGTCCAAAGCTTGGAGGGTGGAAGAGTAACAACGATTTGCGAGGAAGCGGTCCCACTCAGCTGGTCGCCGACTCACTCTCCCTAATAGGAGGTCCCAGATTCAATTCTCAATGGAGTGAGATTGATCTCAGTTTACCCCAAGCCTCCCAACCCCCTCCTCCGACGCCTTTTGGGGTAAAAAAATGTGATTTGCATCATAGACAAATCACAAAAAAAGTTATGATAATGTATTAGCAATGTATCATTGCTAGCCTATTTACCTATAGTTTATTAGCACTGGATAGCCAGAAACATGTGACTTCATTGATCTACATTAATCCATCCATCAAACAACTTTAGGGTTATAAATTGCACACCCCTCAGATTACATTAATGTACATTTTAAAATCTTATATATTATGTATCAATAAATATGTTGTACGCAGTAACAAGTTACTCTTTACACAGCGTTTGTTGTTTAAATAATAACGTGTTCCAAAATTTTGTATGAAGTACATGTGTTTGTTAAAGACATTTCTTTAAGATTTTGGTTATTTCCTTTCAATTTAAGATATTTATGATACTTTTAAGTTAATGGGTGGTTAATTTCATATACATTTGTATTAAATTAGACAAGGAATGATAGTTATGACCAAACATGGAGTCCTATTAGTGAGGCAGAGGCTGAGAGTGGTATGCGTCTGACTTTTATTGTTGATATCTCAATTAATTAATTAATTAATATATTAATAACAAAATGTTTCTTGGAGCACAAGTTCTCGCTAAAACTGCATGGAGCATTTGTTACGTATTCACTCTTGTGTCGGAATATTCTGTAATTTTTTGGTGGCTTGCCTGTTTAGGTTGTTTTTTACGGATTAATAATTGATGCCTTTTGAACTCTTTCTCTCTTCTCTGAAGCATGTTTACGTTTACCCATGTAGTTTTCACAGCGGCAATAGTCATTCTTTTCAGTCTACGAGCTGCATGCTTTTGATGCTACGTATTCCAAAGTAAGAATGCCTATATATATGTTGATTAATTAACTCTGGCTTTCAATACGTACTCTTGGCACTTCAATGTTGCATCTCATTCACTCTACCCTATTATTCTACTCCAATATGGCAATATACATAGTATAATAATATTCTCTCTATTTATGCTCGATTTTTTTTTCATGAAAAATTTGTGTGTTGTTTCCAACCCACATCGGTACATTAATTGAAAGCAAAAAGTTTGTTGCCTAATTTACATTTAATATTGGTTGCAGCAAATTATAAAGGTCGTTGATGTGAGTTTTCTCACACTTAAAATAGATCGTAATATAGTGGTGTAAGTACGAGTATCGTCTCCACATGGACAGACAAAAGGGATCAAGAATTAATTAAATTCAGCGATTAAAAATAAATAAAATAAATGCGTCGTGCGAGATTGGTTGGTTTAGAAAATTAAACTAATGCGAATGAACGATAAAATAAAAAGATTGGTTTCTCTCTAATTAACGACGAAGGGAACATGGATTGATTCCGGGGTAACCAGATTTCTGGCAGATCAAGCTTAATTACATGAAATTAATTTAATTGAGCCTCTAGCTAATCATTACTAAGTTCTCACCGTTCTCGCGGCGAAGAGTACAATAATTTAGGGGACCAGCATGATCTCTCATGCGACAGGATCCTAAATTATTGCCAAGACGAGCGAGCTTACGGCCCCTTAATCGCTACTAATCTCTTAGCGAACGATTAAGTGTGTGTGAATGTGTCATAGAATAAACTAGATCTCTCTTAATTCATTCTACAATCAATTGTAATTCTAGTGACCATCTAGGTTACAAGAGATATCAGTTAAATTATTCAACCACATATTAAACGGCATTCATGCAATTAAACCAACAAAAATCTAGCCATACATCATGATTAACCCCTTCATCAATCCCAAATCCCTAATTAAACTACTCACAATTCATATCTGAAGAATCAACAAAATTGGGATGAATAGAAATAATTGTCATTAATTAAAAAGATGAACTTACAAATAATCTCAGGGTTCTTGAAGGAAATAGCGGAAAAACGATATGTAATTCGTCCTTAGGTCTCTCCTTAATGTTCGTAACCCCAAAATAGAAGAAGTGAGACCTTATTTATAGAAAAAGATGAGTTTGGGTTGAATTAGGACTAAAACGGGGTCAGGCACGGCGTGCCCAGGAGCCAGGCACGACCGTGCCCACGGAGCAAACCCGTTATTTCTCGCCTCGGGTCCAGGCACGGCGTGCCTAAGGTCCTGGCATTCCAGTAGCCCGGTACAAAATTCTTCTGCAGGCACGGCGTGCCTGGGGCCAGGCACGACCGTGTCTGCCTTTTTTCTTCATACTTCGTCTTTTCTAGCTCCAATCGCTCCCGGATGCATACAAAGTCGATCCAAATGCTTTTTCTTCATCAAAATTTTGTTGCGAATCATCCGGTGACCTCCAAATCTCTCGGATCTCTCTCGAATGCTTTCAAGCTCTTCCCGATTGTCTCTCAAGCGCCGATGCCGGACTCTAAATTCATCATTTGACTCCAAATGCAATAAAACTCGACCCAACGCCTGGTAATCACAACTTGAGCTAAAATTGAGACCTGCAACGCCTTCAAACTAGGAAAACCATCAAAATCCGACTCCAGCACGCATCAATGCGTGTTGAAATACGAACTTATCAGCCGTCCATCCATGGAAAATAATATTTGAAGTCTTCCGGCTAGTCTCCGTGCAATAAAACCTGGAGAAGAGTTTGATGATCAAATGGAAAATAATATTTGAAGTCTTCAGAAAATATAAATTCTTAACGCTCTTGGTAGCCTACCAATCAGATCGGTTTTATTTATTAGAATCAATGGGAGAAATTGTTTGGGAATTGGGGCTGAAATATTTGATTACCGTGTGGAAGCAAAGGCAATTTGTTATGTGTTTGGGAAATGGAAGAGAAGAAATTGAGTAATCTATGTGTTTGAAACTGAGTTGATACTACAGAATGCATTCTATGTATGCTATCGATCGTACGTATATTTTTTTAGAATTTTTGCCAGGAAGTATTGTTTGAATCTGCCACGAATTAAAACAATACAATACGTGTGTCATTGTGTCAATTGTTGTGAAATGAAGAAGATGAAGAACAGATTAAAGAGATAGATATATTATTAATAAGCTCTGAATTACTTCTTCTTAATATAACTGAAATTTTCTGAATTCCTGAATTGCTTGAATTCAATTTACAAAGGATTGAATACCCTATTTATACTAGCCAGACTTGGGATGAATCATCTAGGAATGATTCTACATAATTTGCTGGCAACATTAAACCTAAACATCTATCTATTACAAGGACTGGAATTGGATTAGTGTCCTGATGACAAGGATGAAACATTCACACTTGTCATTCTCAGGAATTTACAACACTCCCCCTTGAATGTTCATTCTTGAATATGTATTTGTGAAAATGAGTGTGAAAATTAAGGGGTAAAAATTACGACATATAATGTCGTTGTATTTGGATGTACTGTCTCGTTAAAAACCTTATCAGGAAAAACCCAGTGGGATAAAAACCTGATGAAGGGAAAAAGAGTGCAGTGCATTCAAATACTCCCCCTGAAATTAACATAAATTTTGAAGGCGGCGCATGCCGATTTTCTGTACAAGTTCAACGAACTTCTTCGGGGGTAAAGATTTGGTGAAGAGATCAACTGGATTTTCACTGGATCTGATTTGCTGAACGTTGATCGTCCCTTCTTTCTCAAGGTCGTGAG